GAGACTCTCTCAAAAAATAAGATGATAGAAGGAGGTGATAGATGAGGACAGCCAAAGTCAAAGTCAACTTTGATCTAGACATCTACACACACACACACACACACACACACACACACACACACACACACGCACGCACATGCAACACGCACACGCACACGCACACGCGGAGGTGGGGCAGCCCTTATATTAGAGAATCAAGGGATTTCCCCTCAATAACAATTTATATCTCATTGGCCAGAACATTGTCACACTGACTGTCCTTTGAGCCCAATGAGGCTGGACTATGTGTGCTTTAGGAAGACACACTGGGCTGAGACCACAAACAAAATTGTGGCTGGGTACACTGTGTTTTTAAATAAAACCAAGAAGTGGGAAGCGGGCAGGCAGCTAGGGTGCCATAACTAGCTTCTAATTTTTATAGGTTTTGGTTTACTAACCGCCCTCCATCACATTATCTTTTGTCAGAAACCTTCTCTGTTTCCTTCATCTCAGTTTTTCTAATGTGATCACTTACTTCTTTGCTGACTTATGTGTAAGAGCAGAGACTATGCCTGCTTGGCTTGCCACTCAAGCCTTAGAACTCAGATCAGAGCTGAGTGTGCCCTGGGTTCTCAAGAAATTATTCACTAAATGAATCAATGCATGGATATAGGGTCCCTCCAGGATGGTGGGAAATTCTCTGTTTCTTTCCTAGGTAATTTCAATCAAGAGGAACCCTCACAAATGAAATTGTTAAATAAAAAACAAACACAATAAGCCAATGTTAACATTTGTCAAATTATCACATGACTAAATGTATGAAAATGAATTGCTGGGTTTCCTCTTTGTATGCTGTTCAGATATCTAGAGACAATGGTCACCAAGCACCTCCTGTGCCATTATTTGTAATATAATTAAAACGCTCTCAGCACCTTCTCCATTTTCTGCCTCTGCCTTTCCAGCTAGCCAAACACTTTCTCTAGCACCACATGCACAAAAAGAGAGAAATTAATTTTCACTGGGAAGTAACTAAACTAATTTTTTGGTCCTAGCTCCTCACTACTGAGTGAAGCTGGGTAGCATCTAGCCACAGCCTGAGGTCTTTTCCTACTGGATTTCTATCAAGGCATGTCTCCTCCCTTGTTGATGTTTACTTGTACATTTGACCCTTTGACTAGACAGAATTATCTGGTCAGGATGAGGCAATACACAAGACTTTTTGTGGCAAATTATTCTTCCATTTCACACTTTAGTTTCTCCTGTTAGCTTTGTGGGTGAGGCAAGCTGGTGCATGCAGACCAAAAATATAATGCTTTCGGGGGGAGGGGCTAGAGAAACAGTTTAGTGAATAAAGTGTTTGCTGCAAATCACTGGTGATTTGAGTTTGGATTCCCAGCACCCACTTAACAATCTGGGAATGGCAGTATGCACCTGCAGTCCCAGTGCTGGGGAAGCAGAGAAGGGAGGTGTAGCCTTTTGCTGTGGGATGGTCTGTATGTCAAACATGTTGCTCTGATTGGTCAATAAATAAAACACTGATTGGCCAGTAACCAGGCAGAAAGTATAGGCAGAACTAACAGAGAAGAAAATTGAGAGAACAGAAAGGCAGAGAGAGACACTGCCAGCAGCCACCATGACAAGCAACATGTAAAGATGCCAGTAAGCCACGAGCCAAGTGGCAAGGTATAGATTTATAAAAATGGGTTAATTTAAGATATAAAAACAGTTAACAAAAAGCCTACCACGGCCATACAGTTTGTAAATAATAAAAGCATCTGTGTGTTTATTTTATAAGTGGGCTGTCAGACTGCTGGACCTTGGCGGGACCTGGAGAGAAAACTCCAGCTACAAGGAGGATTCATGTAGCACTCACTGGCTAGTCAGTCTAACCAAGTTGTAGCACTCCAGGCTCAGTGAGAGACCCTGCCTCAAAAAGTAAGGAGGGGAGCGATTAAAGAAGATACTGGATATTGACCTATGGACTCTACATGCATGCATGTGCACACATGTGCATGTACATCCACACACATGCACATACACATGAACATGAATGTGAACGCACACACACACACACATACACACACACATACTCATACACACATGAACAGGAACAGGATAAGGCTGAGATAAAAATTCTTCATTGTGTAGGGCCTCCTGTAGATCATATCACCATTAATCATCATCTTTAAATTTACCCTACCATTTATAAGTCTACCGAATGATATTATCATGAGGCCTATATCTCTGTAATCTACTTACAGCATTATAGGAAGCTCCATCAAAGTCATTACTTGAATGAACAGGCAGTGTATCTGTTGTGTTTCTTTAATTCTCTATTATGGTTATACCACCAATAATTATGTCTAATAAGACTTGTTCTTAGTGTGTCTGTGTTGATACTAAGGAATATGCTTCCTAATCTAGGGACTCATATTCTCTTTATTTGACAATCTGCCCTTGGATTATTTATGGTACCATGTTGTTTGCTCAAACATCAGACCTAGCCCTCTTTCCAAAATATAACAAATATATGAGAATGGGATAAAAGAGAGTAAGATGAAAATCTGTAGAAATTACTTATATCAGGAGTTAATAATAATGCCCCAACCAGAAATTGTGCTAAAGTTCTAAAACTGGCTATGATGTCACTTGTGCAAATTATTAATAACTCAGTTATATATCTGATGATTTTTCTTTGTAGACCAAGAAGCTAAAGGATAAATGAGGTCACATAATAGCCAGAGGATTGTGGATGAGACGTCAAAACTTGGATTTCTCATGAAACCTGCTACTTATCAGACTTACTGACATGTTATTCTGGAGCAGTCTTTTCTCTTGGAGGTCTCAAAGAGGGACCAGGATCCTTTTCAATCCTGTCTCAAGGAGTCACTGTGACAGACAAAATACAGCATTACACAATAGTGGGACACTATTATTGCTGCTTCTGGAGAAGTTTTTGTCTCCAAGTGGGAACCATGGCTGTCAGGTCCATGATTGCAGCTGTAAATTCTGTGGGATGTTGGAAACGCACACTGTTTGGGGTTGATCATATTCTCTAATTGGGTGTCACCTTTCATGAGCCAAGCAGCTGCCAAGTCTGATTGCCTCTGATTTAGTTTCTTGGAACCGATCAGCATATTGTTTTGTTAACAACTATCTGAGGATCAAGAAGTCTTCTGAGTGCTAGAATTTGCAATTCAGCAGCTGTCTGGGGGCTGTCTCTGTAAGCTCAAATGGGACTCACACCCTATTCTCTTTGCACCAATGTGGTGACAAAATAAAAAAAGGGGGTTCAGTGACTTCCTACTGCCCTGAATGCTCAGTAAGTAATTTTTATATTTCAATTAAGAAAATACAATCTCAGTTCTTCCTAGACCAATCTGCCCCTGTTTATAAATTAATTAGGATGCACAGAGCCAAGAATGAGGTTGAAGACAGCACTTGCATCACCTTAGTAGCTGGAATCTATCCAGTACCTTCTGTTCCTCCATCTATATCTCTAACACATTATGCACCCATCCATCCACCCTTTCATCTTTCCATTCTTCCATCCTTCCATCTGTCCATCTGCCCATTCACCCATCTATCTATTTATCCATCTATCTAACTATCCGTCTATCTGCACATCATCTATCTGTCCATCCATTCCTTCATACACAACTGACTATTCATTGGTTATTTGTGATGCAAAAGACAGTTGGACATAAACTTTGCCCTCCAAGAGTTTATTGTTTAGTGACATGAATTACATACTGTTGATGGTTAAAAACAGTTTCATCCGAGGCTTTCACCTTCCTCAGTTCCTGCCTGAACAAACCTTCTATTCAACCTCTCCATCCTGGAGTCTATTTCTAGGATCTTGAGTGATAGATATGGGTCTTCCCTTCCCTAGCTTTCTCTGTGGTACCCTATCCAGGGTATAGTTGTACTGTTTATCTTGGTATGGATGGCTGAAGGAAGTTTTTAAGAGGTCCCGCTACAAGATCGGGGTTGTCTTCCAAATTTTGAGTTTCTAGACCTTTTCAAGCTCTGTTCCCAAAACATAGTCTATGGGGTATTTATGGAGGTTCACCTTGAAAAAAAAGTGGTTGTCAAACATGCAGGCAATATCTGAGAGAGTAGAACTGTATAATGCCTGGATGTAGCTGATGCAAAAGCTTTACCCAAGCAACATGTCAGGGTGTAAGTGACTTGTGATGAAGTTCCCCATAGGCTCCAACTTCCTGTTAGCTCTCTGATTCCTGACTGCAGATGCAATGTGACCAGCCACCCCACACCTGATACTGCAGCTTCACCACCATGCTTGACTGTACCCTTAGATTATGATTCAAAGCAACATTCCTCCTTAAGCACTTTCTGCCAGCAATAAGAAAAGTAACTAATGAACAGTTGCACCGTGCTTTGGAGGGTTTGTTGGGGGCTGAAATATCCACCGGTATAGGGCTAGGCCATTGTCTCCTTGGGATGGTGCTTTTAATGCCAGGATTGAAAATTTATGTGGCTCAGTGCCCAGTCAACATAAACAATGAAACAAGCAGGCAAAGACCATGGGGGTCTCGAACTAAAGCCACAGGGAGCTGCTGCTTCAATGATCCAGACAGACTGCAGCCTCCACAGGAGTGCTGGCCTCATGGCCAGACCTCAGATTTCACAAGATATCTGTGTTTCTAATTCAATTTTATAAAATGTTAGGCCCAGGAAGCAAAATACATCTGTGAGCTGTATGCGGCCCATGGACTGTGGTTGTGTTTCTGTTCTGAGCCACTGTGCATGGCTAAGACAGCACCTGGGGCAGAAACAGTGTGTAGGGTCACATGGTCATCTCTATGGGGCTCTGCCCTTGATGGGCCACTGGGAGGCAGGGTAAACTGGGGGGTGGGGTGGGTAGTGTCTATATAGTTCAAAGAAGGGTCTGAGAACAGAAAATGTAAAGCATGCTACTAAATGTGTGTTGGCCACTTGCCTGTCTGTGGACTGGGGAAAATGTGCAGGTTTTAAGAGCAAAATCTTATTTGCAAATGTACTTATTCCTTAAATTCCTTCTTAAAACATTACTTTATGTTATTTAATCTTTGTGAAATCCGTCAAGGACTCCCAACTGTACACAAGATAACAGTTGGTAGTTAAACCCCTTCATATTAAGACTACATATCCAATCCATTCATTCAGGTGGGGATTCATCCATTTGATATATACACAAATAGTTACACAAATACTTATCAAATGCTCCTTTTCTTTGCAGGGTACCACATCAGGTACTTCTGGGAATACAAAAATAAATAAGACATTGTCTGATCCTTCCATGCCTCAGAAGACAGCAGAGCAGCGTGGGGTAGTCAGTTAGAATACTGTATTCAATGACTGCCTACTAGGTGTCTGGGATGGTTTGTAGTGATTATTAATGCGATAGGATCTAGACTCACCCAGGAGATAAGGCTCAAGGCACACCTGTGAGGGATTATTTAGCTTAGGTCAGCCTCCTGGCATGCCTATGCGGGATCTTGATTAGGTTAATTGAGATGGGAAGGCCACCCTGAAGGGTAGTGGTACCTCTCCCAGAGCTTGGGTCCTGGATTACTGGACTGCATAAATAGGAGAAGGAATTTCACTGAGAATGAACATTCATCACCTTTTCTGCTTGCTAACTGTGGATTCAGTGTGGCCAGCTCGCCTCCTGTTTCTGCTGCTTTGATTCCCTGCCAGGATGGATTACATCCCCCCAAACTGTGAGCCAAACTGGACCCTTTCTCCCTTAAGTTGCTCTGTCGGGTATTTAACACAGCAGTGGGAAAAGTGACTATAAGAGTACTTATACTGTTCTTAGCACTTTTAATTGAACTATTTCACTGAGTCCTCACAACTGTCTAAGATAGGGCTAGTATTCCTGACCTGAGTTTGGACATATATGGAGGCACATGTTGTTCTGGCCCTTTAAGCAAGCTCAGGCGTCACAGGAGCTGCATAGCAGCCTGCTTTGTGCTTTTTCTGAGTCTTACCTGGTACCACATGGAGTGGGTCTGGGTCTCTGTGCTCTGGTGGAGAGCATGGCAGAGGCAATCCATAGCAGACCCTGTGGAGATACCGAAGTCTAATAAATGGTGAGAGGTGTAGGTGGAGACAAGGGCTCAGACGAAAGCTACAAGCAAAGGGCTCCACATTGGGTCACAGGGGACAAGAGAAAGCATTGCTGGACAGCTAGACAGTGCCAAGGCTGTGGGGCCAGTTTCTAACAGAGGTGGTCTAAGTGGATGATGCTGATACCTCACAGGACCTTGCAGAGGAAGAAACAGAAGAGTGTCAGAAGCTCTCACCTCCATTCAGATACTACAATGGTTGTTATCTTTTCCAACAAGTGCAAATCACAATGAAGTGGCATTTTCCCACAGCAGACTAGCACAAAGCCAAATGCTTTGTGCTACCTAGTGTTGGCCCTGGGCTGTCTTTTGTACAAGGTTGATTGAGTCACTCGGGAAAGACAATTTTGAGTACAGTTTGCCAGTTTGTGTGTATGCGTTTAGGATGCAGGTACTTTCTGCCAACTCCCCTACATGTGTTTATCACAGAAGCAAACCTATGAGCCCTCACATAGGAACAGCTGTGTCA